AGATTCTGAAGGAGAACTGGGGGTAGACAAGACAGCAAGGGAATTGGACGAGGGCAGAGAGAGAGCGTCCGCCATCCCCGAAGTCTCCATTCGAGACTTTAGGCCTCGCCTTTGTTCAACACGTGTAGCTCCCCGTATCGCGGCTCCGTCAGAGCGGCTTCCGGCTTCCACGGAATGAGTCGCTCGTTGGCGGGACACTTGTTGGGCGGCAGAAGGCGCGTCAAACCGTCGACRTTGCCGTGCTGCCGCGTGGCACGGTGACGAATATTGAAATCGTAGTCCTGCAGTCGCACCGCCCACCTCCCCAGCGTCCCCGTGTAATCCGTGTTGTTGCGTAGTGACAACAGCGGCTGATGATCTGTTACCAGTACGAATTTCTGGCCGTAGAGGTACGGTCGGAAATGCTGAATTCCCCACACCACCGCCAGGCATTCACCTTTGCATACTTCGTAGTTGGACTGCGCCTGGCTCAGCGTCTTGGACGCATACTCGATGACGTGTTCCCTTCCGTCCGCTGAGTCAGCACTGCCGACATCGCCTGCGGTTGCCAATCGGTGTGTAAGGCGAACGGCCGGGTCGGATCGGGACACGCCAGCACAGGCGCAGATGTCAGAGCCTCCTTCAACGCCTGAAAAGCCGCTTCACATTCTAGCGACCAGATCAGCTGCTCTTCTTTCTTCAACAGGTTCGTTAGGGGCTTCGCCAAACCGGCGAATCCCTTGATAAAGCGTCGATAGTACGAGGCCAACCCCAGAAAGGCTCGAACCTGGGTGAGTGTCGCTGGCGCCGGGGCTTCTTGAACCGCTGCCACCTTTCTCGGATCCAGCTTCAGTCCGTCAATCGTGACGATGTACCCCAAAAATGAGATCTCCGACAAGAAGAACTCGCTTTTCTCCAAGGCCACTTTGAACCCCGCATCTTTCAGTGCATGCAAAACCCACTCTATGTGTTCCACGTGGTATTCGTAAGTTTTCGAAAAGACCAAAATATCATCCATGTACACAATCACGCAGAAATTAATTAAGGGCTGGGTCAATCGGGTTTTGTTAACGAACTCCGCGAAAGCCATATTCATGGCCTGCTGGAACGTCGCAGGGGCGTTACAAATTCCCATGGGACACCGGACCCATTGCCACGTGCCTTCGAATAGGACAAAAGCGGTTTTGGGACGGTCTTCCAGTCGGACCGCGACATGGTGAAAACTGTGTCGGATATCGAATTTTGAAAAGACTCGAGCGGACCCGATAGCGTCCAACAAATCGTCAATCCTCGGCAGGGGGTACACGTCTTTGGTGGTGATAGCATTCAATTTTCGGTAGTCGATGCATACTCGGACCGAACCATTTCGTTTTGGCACGAGGACCACGGGAAAGGACCATGGTCCTAGTGATGGTTCGACCCACCCCAACCGCTCAAATTCCCGTACCCTTTCCAACGCCAACTGTCTTTCTTTAAGGGAATATCGGTACGGTCGGCAATGTATCGAGGCGTGTTCCCCGGTATCAATGGCGTGCTGTATTAAGTGGGTCAGCCCGAT